GGCGTCACTGAAACGAGCGCTGTGATAAAGCAGCATGCAAAGGGAAACGGTGGAGAAAGTCTGACGGTGAAAGCTTGATGGCTGCGTCTCATGTGGAATGGAGGAAGTATTCATTTCCATTGAGGTTTGTCACATTTTTCACATTACAACCACAAAATGCAATGATTTCTGGAAATATCTAAAATAGAGAATCATTGTGAAATGAAACCTGGTTTTAAATCTATTTTTTAAATATCTGAAAAGTGTGGCTGGAATATGTCAACATCAAAAGTCAAGAGAGACAAAACAACCTGACCACTGAAAGAACATTTAACTAATGTGAAATTATTCATCAAGTGTAAACAAGAAGGGAAAAAGCACTTAGAGAGTAAAGATTGCAAAAATATAAAATCAGAAAACAAGTTTCTCCACATACCAGGAAAAAGAATTAATCTCACATAGGAATGAAAAGTTTTCAGTTTAAAAGCAAAAAACTCTCAATGTCATGTGAAACTTCATTTAGTTTTGCAAGAGTGAAAGCCTCCTCATTATTTAGCTGTCAGGAAAGTTATGATCAAAAGCTCATCTTTGTTGATCCGACTCCAACAAAGTCAGAAAGCTGACTTGAGACAAGCCAATGATATTCCCCTCCAGAGCATAAATCAAAACTACATCACAAAACACAGAGTTGTGCTCAACCAAGTGAAAACCTGCAACCGTACAAGCAGCTCCATCAGGCCTTTTTCAAGAAGACAGAAAACAGATCTTATGCTGCAGCAAATGTGTGGGGACATTTACAGCCACAAATAAGAGTTTTTTAAATTAAATTAGTCAACCTTGCTTTTGATAAAGTTTGTAATTTGCAAGGAGAAGCTTCCAGAAAAACTTGACCACGATCAAACACCTGGAAGCAGATTCTATGAATCCAAGTGGAAATGCAGTATTGATTGCTAATGGAGCTGATTAGCTCAATTCATTCTCATCGTTTCTATATCCATTTGACACAAATGCAGACAAAGCAGAATTAGAAAGAATTTTTAAAAAGACATTTAGAACTTGTTAATTCTGCAGATGAAATATAAAATTAATTCCCTTCTGTCGTGTATTTGTAGGTGAAAAACACTGGATATTAAGTTTATGATTGGAGTTTCACTGGTACATTGTTAAACTGGAAAAGTTGTGGTTGCATTTATAAGACGTTTTAGCAGACTTTTAGGAGAATGCAGTCAGTATGAAGGCTGTGTTGTCTTCCCTTAAAGCTTTAAATAGGCCCTGCCATCACGTCTAACTTCAGTGATGCTATCTTCTTTTAAGTGTTGGAATCGGTGATGTGACAATAGCAGAGCCCAGGAGCATTAACTTGTCCAAATCAGTTCACTTGAAGAACATCCTTTAAAACCATTGCGATTAATCCACATTTTATTTACCAGACTCACCAGAAACTCAGGTGATAATGGCTCCCTTTTCAAATGACCTCACAATCCAAACCCTCTAGATATACAGCTTGCTGTTTTGAAATTAAGAAGATTATGCAACAAAGTTCTCTAAAGAAATTTATTTTTGTCTGCAACTCCAGTGTTCAAGAGCCACTATGCAACATTTAGATGTGTCTCTGCTCCAACGCAGGTGAATCAACTGAGTGGTTAATGTCCAAGTCTTTGTAACATTTGCTGATACACTGAGAATGAAACTTAGCCTTTATGATTCAAAGAAAAAAATCCAACTAAAATGCCCTAAAACCTCACGGGAGAGGTTTTAGTTTGAAAAGATGTTTTCTAAAAGGTATGTTTGGCACAAGAACAACATTACAGATCTTCAAAAACAACACCATGCACATTAAAACTTGAAGTCTGCAGCAGGGAGTTAAAACCGAACCCACAGTTCTCTATATTTTACATTTTTCTCTGCTTCATCACACCCGAATCAAATGATCACGATGCCTCCAGTGCTGCAGAAGCTGTTAATCACCCATTTATTTAAATTAGGTGTATAGAAGCAGTGAAACAAGTCAAAATTGGAGGGCAGTGGGCCCTTCAGGGGCTTGTTGAAAACCACTGGTCTATAACATAAAAAAAAAAAAAACCTGGTATGTTTTACACTTTTCTTGCATTTGGGTTAAGACCGCCTATGCAACCAAACTTAGCTGACTCTGGGGAAAAGAAGGTAATCCTATAATTTATTTATGCTTACAGAATGACTCAAACTTTAATGATGAAAAGAATACATTAACAGCAGTTGAAATAGTTTTGAAAATGCATTTAAAGTTTGATATATAAGCTACTCTTTATCCACTATGCGGAAGAAATGTTCTTTTTATATCGAAGCTATTCTGGATGAAAACAGCAGATGATGTTTCATCACAACAAATGTGACACGCAGGCTCGGATAAATTTGTCGACAAAAACTGTCATTGATTGTTTTATTTATTTATTTAGTGCCAGATTACAACAAAATTGGAAGTGAATGAGCTCAGAAAACCGACAGATTAGAGTTTGGAACATCGGTCCACGTAGGTCTCCATCTGGCTCAATATTACCATGCAGACAGAAGGATTGCAAGCATTTAACCAATACAAACAACAAACAGCTGACAGCACTCCAAATGAGCTACACTCCTCTGTAAGCACACTCCTTCAGGGGACATGTGGAGTCACAACAGGGGCAAAAATGTGCCCTTTTTTAAAAGCAATCATATGATTTGTGTTGTTTCTTTTTACTGCTAAAGGGAAGATTTCTGATGCTCTTTTCTCTCATACATTTGACTCACTTCATGAATTTTTAATTTCTTGCTCAAACTTTCAATTTTTAACTCTCTTTTGATCTGTTTTTACAATATGAGTTATGCAAGACATTATTTTAAAATAATTTATGAGGACGTTTCCACCACCATGACTGTGTTGTGTTAAATGAAGACTCTCAACCTGTTTTAATGCATCAAAGCTGAGTCCAACTTTCTCAGATGACAGACTTTATTCACCTTCTTGAGATGTGATCTTTTACCTGTCCTCTTCAATTTTGTTCTTTGTACTCTGGGACAGAACAATCATGAGTGTCTCAGTGAAAAGAAGAGCAGATGAAAGAATCTGAGACTTGACTGACAGTGAAGCACTGGAAACATTTCCTTTAATCCGTGGTATCCTGCATCCTGCAGTATTAAAAGAAAACATCCACTCCACACACTTCATGGCATGGTCATACACGCTTTACTTTGCTGCAGCTTTAAGCCTCTAAAGTTTGTATTGGTTTGCTTCTTCCCTTCTCCAATGTCACTTTTGTTCTCTCCTCAAGCTGCGCTGCATTCAAATTCTCCTTGCAAAGCGTAGCGCTCTCCGCTGATCACAGTAAAGCTATCGAAGGATTCAGAGCTGAGCACCAAAGTGGTCTGCCAATATTCTCTGGGAGAGGTGGAGTTGACATTTCTGCATTTGTGAGACTTGCAGCTTTAAACTTGTTCATACTGCAGTTGGCCAAAATAATGTTAACTCTTCTTTAATGGGAATGAAGATTATCTTTACAACTACCTATTGAGAAAGTACTAAAATATTGTAGCTTTTTCTGCATTTGATTGGTACTTCTTAAGATTATCTTAAGATATCCTTCTGTCAGTCAGCATGGGGTTGCTGTGCTCTGTAGCTTTCTGTTATTTAAGTATTTAAAGTATTTGCCTTTAAAACAAACAAAACAAAGAAAAAAAACATGTGCTTAAAAATAAAACTGGGGCAGAAATGAAAAGTGTAGCAACATCTCCTTATACCAGTGCACCACTGTGCATAACTAATTTGTTTACTTTTTTATTTTACTTTTGATTAATGCATCTCACTGAGCAGTTGCTCTGAGACAAAATCCATCTTGAGTAAATAATGTTTTTTATAGTGAGGGAACTTAAAATTTAATTTATTGGTTATTTTTAGTTTATTTTTCCCTCCTAATGCATTTAACAAAACAAACTTGTTAAATTGACTGAAACCAGGAAGTTAATCATGGATTTTACTGCACTTATACCCACAAATAATAAGACATTTTTCCAGTAAGTGAAATAACCTGGTAGTGGAACTGTAACAATATTAATTATTAATAATTGGATTAAATCAAGCTCTTGTTTTAAGTTACTTGTAACTTAATTTTGACTTATTTCTGGTGTACTAAGTTATTATGCACTAGAAACTACACCAAAAATGCTAAAATGTTTGGGTTTTTTTTGCAGAGATGTTTGTCTGAACCTTGTCAAATGTTATAAGTGTTGTTCTACTGCTAAAGTGGAATATGCAAGGGTTACAAACAACTGAAGCACACAAGATTTATTCAGAACATGACCCAAATGAAAGGGCCTAAGATCTGGTCTCAGATGTCAGGAACCAGACTGAAGACTCACAATCCCTCTCAGTTTCTGTACTTCTCCTTGTCAGCTAACACACATGCAAAATTAATTCATCACATCTCTTAAAAAGTCCACGTACACACAACATTTGATGACATGCTCGTGTGGCAGAAAATCTGCTGCAGCCCCGTAATAGTGCATCTCATTGTGCAAAGAAAGGCTGTGCTACACAGGGAAGATTCAGTGAGAACCAGACGGCTTGCCTTATCTACAGTGTGGAAGGTGCACTGTGTCTGGAAAACACAATGCATACAGGAGAGGCAGCTCCTCACAGTAGCAGGCAAATGTGCACCAAAACATCCAATCACTCTCTCCTTATGACCTCAGCAGGGATTATAACCTCAATTGTATTCAGTGATAGATGCATGTAGTGCTGGATCCTTCCTCATCAGTTCTGCTCAGCAGTGTCATAAACGTGGCAGTGGAATTTCAAAGCTTCTTCTTGCCTGATGCATGAGGAATCTATGCTGAGCGTCGAGGGAAAATGAAATCACATATCCCCTATGTCCTCTTTAGATCTCTGCATAACAATTTTTGGCATTGTACCAAATAACAATCTGACATGGCTTGATAATGCTCCCTGGCTCTTAATATAACGTTGTGGTTGTTCATCCTACATTTCCCTAATCTATTTGCAGCCTTACCTGCTAATGAAGAGGATAGTGAGCACAGTCCCTCCAGACACGGAGTGAGCCATGGCTGCAAAGGAGGGAAGATGCCTGGTCGAATTTATCTGCAATGAGAAAACACAAAGAACGGTTATTTGATAGGACAGGATTGTAACCGCCACAGACAACTGCATGATTTGTTGCATTTAAATGAAGTTCTAGCAGACCTGTAGCTACCAGACCACTACTGCAGATGCTCTGTGTCCCATTTCCTATTTTGAATCTTAAAGATCCAAAGTTTCAAGAATATTTTTAACTAGATAGGTCTCCAAGGTAACGAATGTTTCTCTGTGACTTTGGGTTCTTTCACACACATTGAAATGGAGCACAGTCTCTCCAATGGCTTTAAAAAATCACGCGGCAGAAAGCAGCAGTGATGATTCACCTCGGGGACACGCTGTCAACAGCATAAGGACCTCATTAATGACTTCACCCCAACTTTAACACTGGCACTGAGCTCAAGAATTGGCTGGGAAGTAATAAAACTGCTTCCCTTCTGGGGGGTGGCTCTTGTTGCATTCCCATGCTCTCAGTCTCTACCTTCAGTAAGATAAAAGCAGAAAGGGGGAGAAAAAACCCTCAGAGGCCAGAAAGACTTAAAGGCTGAGAGCCAACAGATGGATGGAAAGCTGGAAAGAAGAAAAAAATATTGTGGAGCAGAAATAAAACTTTAGCACTGAGTCATTATCAGGACTAACAGTGATGTGACTCTGCCATATGATCATGCATCTGCCACAGAACTCTGTGGGAAGGTCCACAGCATTTAACACTGTAGGTACCATACAGAATTTGGAACTGTCAAATTTTGTCACAAATATATGGACATAATTTAAAGACACATATCAGCATTTTATGACACAAAAACACTGAGAAATTAAGACTTTTTCAGATTTCTCACTGTTTTAATTCATCCAATGAAAGCTGATAAAATAATATAAAGAAAGAATCACATTGCTAATTCATTTCTTCTGTGGCAAACAGTGGCGGAGCTAGACTTTTTTTCAAGGGGTGGCCAAAGGGTGAGCAAGGCTTTATCAGAGGGGTCCATATACAAATGATGAACGAAAGGAAACAAATAGGAAAAAAATACAGAATATGACCAAAAACAAATTCTCAAAAATAAATAAATAAACTGGTGTTTCTGGTGTGCAATAGGTTGTGCTGGGTGCAGGGAGTTCAGTGCCATTTCCTTCTGCTTCACTGTCTTCCTCCCCAGAGTCTGACTCTGAATCTGTATCACCCTCATCTCTCTCTGGAACTTAATTGGAAATGCATAAACAGACGATAAAAATGCAAAAAGCATCATGCTAACCTTTAGAATTAGCCTTATTTTATTTTAATACTTAATAACTCTGTCACAGCCTCTAACCCGCTGGTGATACACTTGGGCCTGGAGTCTCCTGGCTGGATTCTCCTGGTCTGGTCCTGGTTTTTGCTCTTTAAGAAGAACTGGGAGATATTCCCTTTTCTCTTCATTTGGGCTCTACACAAAATAAGACAGCCTGGTATTTACACTCCATGACTGTTTGGCAGAGACAACACTATTTTAACTATTATTTGAACTATAGTTTTTAGTTTCCTGTAGCTAGCTAAAATACTAAATTAAAAATGCATTAATTAAAATTAATCAATATAACTAGTTAGGTTATAATTCAAAGCTTTCATATGACATAGCCTACTTACATTTCAGTCATTATAAAACTTAATGGTTTCACATATTCTTACCACACATTTCAAGCAAGAGCTGGGAGATATAAAACATTAGAGGGCAGCATGTGCACTAAAACATATGTTAAAAGAATCTGTCTAAAAACGACCTACCAGCACTAGCATGGCTAATATAATAAACCAGGCACCAAGCAGCGGCACACAACAATTTTTTTTTCTTTTTAGAAATGTATGACAAGTGCCGCCTCTCATTAGGAAGGTAACAGCGGTTACCGCTGAGCGGTAAAATGTTGTAAATACCTGCAAAACTCCTCCAGGGTGTAACTCTAAAGCCGTTGATGTGTTTTGGATCAAGCAGGAACCACATGTCAGTTTAACCAATGAACAGCGTCGGGCATCGAGCTGCCTTCAGGGACAGTCGGAAATTACAGTTTTCCTGGCAAATCTTTGCCGATCTCATAAGTATTATATTTTAAAACGACCATTTCCAGTGGGGTGGCACTAGGGGTGGCCAGGGGTCTGTTGGAGGTGGCAAGTGCCACCCCGGCCACCCCTCTGGCTCCGCCACTGGTGGCAAAACAACCTAATTCAAAAATAGATGCAAAGTGAAACCATAACAATATGGTCTTATTTAAAATTTGTATGGTAATACATAATTTTATTTTCAAACGAAATAAGAATTTGTGCAGGTTTGGTTGTTTGTCTGTCCTCCTCCCTTCACGTCTAGCCTGGACTGCAGATGCAAAAGGAAAAACAGAGAATAATTTATGAGTATCTTGTGTTAATTAATTATGTATAAATTATACAAATAAAACTGGCAAGTCCACAACTTGTTAAAATTTTATAGTAATGACTGCATTTTTGCATCTTTTATAGGCCTGATCTTTCGATTTGTTTCTTTGAAATATTAGGACATTTAAATAAAAGGTCTTTGTAGTTGATGACTACATTTTATTATGATAAATAAAATACCAAGAATGGTTCTTCTTCTACACACTGAATAGACTGAAAACAGTGAATTGGAATGGCCCAATCCAGAATGACTCTCTTGGCCATAAAGAGAAGCAGCCAGACTCTCAAAAATGAAGGAAAACAAGAATTAATTTATTTGTGAAGAAGGACGTCAAATGTAATTAAGGTAAGAACAACATACAAGTTTTAATTTATAATAAGAAGACTAATTTGACCTTATTTAAAATATCCTTTAGTTTTTCTTGCTAAGATATTTTTGAATAATATGTAATTCATTAAAGAATGAATAAAAGCTTATAACATAATGTCTCAGTAAAGACTTAAATATAAGCTTCTATTTCTGGTTTTGAATCTTTACACATCCATCTCCAGAGATTAAACTACACATTGTGTCACAGTTTGTAACTTTATTAAACCTCATAGAAAATCAGGCTTCTGTCAGTTTATGCTGGCAGAAACGCCAGGGAGAAGAGCAGACAGTATGTACAGTATTTTATTTTGTGGGCTTGCTTTTATTAATCCAAAATTTGCTTTCTGTAAGAATCACTTTGTTGTTTCTATGTTTCCAGTTTTGTGAAGCTCTTTTTGAAATAAGTCCAGTAGTTTTTTTTGTTTGTTTGTTTGTTTTTGGGGTTTTTTTTACAAATTGAGATTTGAAAATGTTTCACAGATATTTTTATTTCATGTTTTTTTTAATGACAAGTGTTTTTATTGACTGCCATTTAATTTAATTTGGTTGTAATTAGAAATAATGAAGATACATTTCTCAAGCATTACAATTCTCCAAAATGTACAAGCTTACAATTCAAATATTCACAATCTAGTGGACATTCATTTATGTCCTTTATTGTAAAGGACTGTCTGACGCTTTCCCTGTAAAGTGAAATGTTCACTTTTTCAGTTTACAGCCATGCAGCCTCCACTTGAGAACGATTTCTGCTAAGTAAATGAACAAACAAAAATAAGGGTACATGTAATATTCAGTTTATGTAAAATGTTTCCTGGACTTTTTGCGCTGGTGTGTAAACACTGTAGTAAAATCTGGGCTGCACATCAGAGCAATTATGGAGTGGTAAGAGTTGGGGGAATTTAGCAGAATTATTTAACATGATGTGGGCCTAGATACATAGTTTAATTCAAAAAAACACATAAAAGACTTGGCTCCTGTTAACACCATGTCGAACATTCTGGTTTGCATGTAAAACATTAGTATTGGATTTTAAAAATGTTCATTTTTACAATGGAAAACATTGACTTTGGCAACAGCAGATAGAACCATGAGTTACTGTAAATTTGCAGCTCAGCACGGCTTTAAAAGACTGAGTCATTCACATTTGCCTGGACGTCACCCAGCTGTCAAATTACAGCACTTTGCAATGACCTGATGAGATATTTAAAGAGCCAGAATCATCACTTTGCAACCTACGTTGAAAGGCTTTATATCAAAGATCATAGAAATTATGTTCTGATGCATGAGGGCTGAAAAAGAGCATTCGCTCCCTTTAAAGTTTCCTGACACGTGTTGCTAAATTATTTACATTTATCCACAATGGAGGGTAGAATTAAACATCTGAATTATCTCCTGAGCATTTAGTTACAGTCTAATAGAGATCTGCTAATGACAGAATAATTTAATTGAGGTAATTTAATTGAGGTTTGTTGAAACAGAAACCTAACTATGTTCCTTCGGTTCATTAAGATTTGCAGGTAATTGATTTTGCAGGTAATTCTCTTTTGGTTCTACGACAACCTTTTAGTATAGTCTGGACTTTGACTGGGCCACCAGAACACCTTAATCCAATGCTATTTCTTCCTCTCTGTTCTATTCTAGATTGTCCACTCTGTTTGAGATTATTGTCCTGTGCAATAAGATTGCTTTGTTAGGATTGCTTTTTGTCCTGTTGACAGATGGACTTACATTTGACTCAAGTTTGGTTTTCAAAAACATGTTATTTGTTATGGTTAAACTTCTCTATTACATGACATTTCACCGAAGGATTAAGAGATAAAATACTTCTCATTCCAACTCCTGATGGTTTTCATTTACAGATCCATCCAGAAAAGATTGGCACCGTCTTACATTTTTTTGCATTTGTAAAAAAATAAATAAAAACATCTAAATGCAGACTGATGGACTTCAAATAGTTTAGAAATGTGATTATACTTTTTTACAGATTGCATTATTATTGTTGATGGATTTCCACCTTGATGATGTAACAACTCTCCGTCAGATCAGAAAACTGGCAAAATTCCTGGTTTTGAAATTTGTCACAGAGATGATGATCACTTAATAAAGTGATGTAATTAGCAGCAGCTGGTAGCTATTTTCCATCTTAAATGTAATCAGTGACAGGACACAACGCAGTTCACTCAAAGCTTTTCCCTTTTAGCATTCCCAGTGTCTATGTCCAGTTTAGGTTTCATA